AGCATCTCTAACTCATTGTATTTTCCTAGAAATCAATGCATATACTCATAGTAAATATATAATCTCTTTACAATAAATATTATATTAATATTTTATAATATAATGTGTATATTATATTTATGTATATTATATTTATATTATAATTTATATTATATTAATATTATATTATATTACAATAAATATTGTAAAATAAATATTATTTTCCACATATTCTTATATTATATTTTTTTATTATATTATTTTTCCATATACTCGTATACTATATTATGTTCTCCATATATTCATATAGTATGTTTTTATTACACAATTTAAATAAATTTTTTGGGATGCTTTATACTTATAGTCAAAGCTGTATGTACAATGACCGACAATGATGCGTTCCGCGAGAGGGGAAATAGAGTTCTCTCTGTCGCGGAACGAATCACTGCCGGTCACTGTACACCGTAAAAGCCTCAAGTATTTTACTATATATTATTCTTCTTATTTTTTAATTAAACTTTACTTTTCTAAAACGATGTTGTACAGAAGTAAGAGATAAATGTCCTTTCTTTCCACTCTTCCAAAATTCGATTGCCTTTTTCTTATAATTTAAGTTTACATTTCCACCTTCATCATCCACAGTGCAAACTTCATTTCCATAATTATCTTCTTCAGCATCAATATCGTACACATCTACAAATTGTACGTCATGCGGTTCTGATGGATCGTCAAAATCAAGTCCCCACTCATGTTCGATCGTAATATCGTGATGTATAGCACTCTTTATTAAATCAGTAATTGTATGATGGAGTTCCACCTCTTGATGATTAACAGGAGTTATTGCAATATTTGTGAAATGAAATGTCGCAATTAACAAATTAATAACATTAGCTGGATTTATTACTGACATTATGATACAAATCTTAAGGATATTTTAATTAAACATTTCTCACAGCAATAATAATATACATACTGCTTCAATAACTGCTTCAATAACACTGAAATGTATTCCAAAATGGACAGCTTTTATATGCAAATGAATGAAGATAACATATGTCAATATAATGAACCTTGATTGCACTGTACTTGATAAAGAGTGCTATTTTGGTCGCACAGTCATAAAACTTGTGACAAGTGTTTTGCATGTTGCCATGATGTACACACACGTGCGCACGTACAAAAACACACATACACACACACACATATTTATTTATATTTACGCGTGTCGTTTAAATTAATGAAAAAGGTAGCCGCAATGTTGGCAAAATAAACGTCTATTACGTGAAATTTTATAATTTATAACATTTTTAAATATTAGTGACTGTATCCTTATCATGCTATTTTTCTCCTACTTACTTCTTAACATCAACTTTATTGCTTTTTTATATTTTCTATTTTCTTCCTTCCTTATCTTTTACAGTTTGCAATTATGAGGAAGATTTGAGGAAGAAAAAAATGCCATCGTCAAGTAGCGAATCCTTAAGTTTGGTACGCGTAGCATACATATAAGAGCATGTTTAATTTTTTTTTCAATATTGCCTTTTCCAAACATAATGTTATTATATATGGTTGAATTTGTCATAAAATAAGCTTTATTTTGGTTGGACAATTGATTTTAACAATTTGAAAAAAGAGAAGGAGGGGGGGTATTTTATACACAATTTTACATTTTTAAAAAATCTAAATATAGCATAATAAAGTACTTTTAAAACCATAAAACTTTTGTCTAAAACATTTTTTCATATCTTTAATAGTTTCGATAATATTCGCTTAGAAAGACAAAAATCAACTTTGTTCAAGGGGTTGTTTCCACCCTTAAAACCGTTTTTGGGCACCAACGAAAAATTGTTTTGTTATTAGGTATATCTGCTCTACAATTATGCAGAGTTTCAGATTTTTTTGAATTTCCGCGTTGCCGAATGTCCCTTGTAAGTAAAAACGCACGTATATAATGCACATATCATACAACAAACATACTTATATAAATGATACATACGCTATACATATTGGAGACTTGAATAAGTTCTCGCTGTTTTTTCATGAAAATGAATGCTTTATTTAAAAAAATTAGTAAAGAACATGTCATTGAAAGTATTGTCCATCGCTAGCCACTACTTTCTCCCATTTCTCCCTCTTTCTGGCAGCATACGAATACCATGTCGAAAGAACGACTCATCTTTTAAGGTTATCCACGAATCGACCCATTTTTTGACATTTTCATAAGAATGGAAGTGCTGCTGAGCCAGGCCATGAGTCATCGATCGGAATAGTGATAACCGGAAGGAGCAATGTCAGGTGAATAGGGCGGGTGGGGTAGGACTTCCCATTTGAGTGTTTCCAAGTAGGTTTTGACCGGTTTTGCAACATGTGGCCGAGCGTTGTCATGCTGCAAAATTATTTTGTCGTGTCTCTCCTCGTATTGCGGCCATTTTTCCTTCAATGCTCGACTCAAACGCATCAATTGTAGTCGATAGAGATCTTGCGTGATGGTTTCGTTGGATTTGAGGAGCTCATAATATACTACACCCATCTGATCCCACTAAATACAGAGCATGAGCTTGGAACCATGGATATTCAGCTTTGCCGTCGATGTTGCCAGGCCAGGCAACATCGACGGCAATGCATGGCCAGGCTTACCCTACTATTTTCTACGCTTCGGGTTATCGTACTGTATCCACTTTTCATCGTCAGTCACGATACGATGCAAACAACCTTTCCTTTTCTGCCGTTGGATCAGCTGTTCACACGTGAAAAAACGCCGTTCGACATCTCTCGGCTTCAATTCATACGGCACCCAATTTCCTTGCTTTTGATTCATTCCTAATACTTTTAAACATTTGGCAACTGTTATGTGATCAACTCCTAATGATTCTGCAAGTTCATTTTGCGTCTGACATGAGTCTTCATCGAGTAATGCTTCCAATTCTTCGTCTTCAAACTTTTTCGGTGCGCTAGAGCGTTCTTTATCTTCAACATCAAATTCATTATTTTTAAAGCGTCTAAACCAATATCTGCATGTTGTTTCCGACAGAGCATGGTCGCCGTAAGTCTCCACAAGAATTCTATGTGCTTCAGCTGCAGATTTTTTTTGAAAAAAGTAATGCAGTAAAATTCCCCGCAAATACTCTTTTTTGGCATAAAATTCAACATGTTTAACGCTATGAAAAGATATGTTGTTTACGCTTCGGCGGAATAACATATACTGTGACTTCGAGCCTAATGGTGGAGCTTCACGATGAAGTTGGCTGTAGTATTGCCCGATGCAAAAAGGCTAAGATAACACCATCTGTCGGGAAACAGCGAAAACTTATTCAAGTCCCTAATATAAGGCTATACACCTCAATCAAAAACAAATTCTTTCACGAACAACATTGTAGATTGGAATAGTGGATCTCTTAATACATGTTGGTATCCAGCCCAATTACACGATAGGACTCTCTGTTGGTGAACTTATCTGTGAATATGTGAATGGATGTTTCACTATCGAAGAAACAATTTTGGCAGCATATTACATAGGCACGTCATTTGAGCAGGCCAAGCTGCAGGTTTTAACGAAGTTCAACTTTCTTAATTAATAATTTTCGCTTTCCCTAAATGGAAAGATATGTATCAATCATTTATATGTACAAAGCAATGAGTAAAATTAATTCCACGGGTTACCATTCCACAGGTAAATGACATCACTGCAAATCGATACAAATACCTTAAAATTGTTAGAACAAAACTCCTAGAGCATTTCAGCCGAATATTACTAATGGAGCCCTCAAAGAGCCGCGGAGTAACGCAGGTAGATCACGAAGTCAACGTGACTTGACTGAGACTGCTGCAGAATATTATGCAGACAGTATCCTGAATCCAATATTAAAAAGAATTACAGCTTTGATACCGAAAGGCACGGTACTCGTTGACATAGTACCGCACAATGCTTTCCAATCGATCATGACAAATTTGTTGGAATCAACGATCAACATTGATTCCATTATATAAACGCGGCCAGAAATGTACCATACAAAGTTTTTTAGAAGGAATTGGTGATCTTTATAATGTAGGACTTCAACCACAGATTGCAAATTTGTATCCGCCAGTGCAATTTCCTGTTAGTCGCGAAACTCCAATGATATCTCCTCTTATTAAGTGCGTCTTTTTTTTCCTATATATATATAAGAAAACGACTCACATTTCTTTGTTTATTCTATAACATTGTTTATTCTATGACATTGTTTATTGTAGATGGGATCATTCTGATGACTATTACATATTCCGTTATAAGTGGAAAAATAAAATTGCCAGTACTGAAAAAATCATCACTATTGCAACCGATGACAAGAACTTCGAATACCTGGTCACGTGATCGATGAATGAAATTTATTACCGGCTGCGAGTTACCTATTCGAAATTTGGCGTACAATTGGCTTGTTGAATGGCACTGATTATAAAAACATATCGATTACGTTTGAAAATATTAAATTTCTACGTACTACTCAATTATCAAAACGAGATAAGCTGGAATTAACTCTTGTGATCCAAGAAGGTAAATACTTTTACAATTATTAGAGAATTGACTCTTGATATTCTCTTTCAGTGATATTGTAATAGAATATTACCTGTACATAATCGACACAAAGAAATAAAAGAAAACCTATGCAAAGTCGCAACGATACTCAACTCAGAAGAGAAAACAAATTGACATAGTTGATTCCAGAGAAAGAACGGTATTATCCTGTAATAATCATAATATTCTTACAGGTAATAATAATTTCAAGATTCTAGAGAGAGGCAATGTGGTCGTCAGTGGTCTTGTGAAGATTCCTAACGATATCGTAAAAGAGAAACTACCTGTCCAGTTTTTACCTAAAAGCGACGATGCTGAAGAGTGCATAAATATTTTAGATATTTATAAAAAGCTATGAGTCTGTGGCTATCAGTATACCGGTTTGTTTCGTTCATTGAAGAGCGCCTCAATTAATGGAAGCGTAGGGCATATCAAATAGTCGTCAAATTGGGTGGTATTCATTGACAGTATGCTGCAAATGAAAAGCCTACCGCTTGACTCGAGAAATGTTATATACATAACAATTCAAATTCGCAAATTGGTAATCGATCCCGAATATCACATAAAACAGCTTCCTAAACTTTCAAAAGAAGAAAAAAGTAAGTCAGCGCTTAATTTTTATTTTCAAATAATTTCGTCTTTCGACATAATCTGCTATATACGCTCTCCCTCTCTCTCTCTCTCTCTCTCTCTCTCTCTCTCTCTCTCTCTCTCTCTCTCTTTAACCTCCATTCTCCCTCTCTCCATCCTCCCATTCTTCCTCCTCTCTCTCTCCTCCTCTCCTTCTCCCTCTCCCCCGCCCTCCCCCTCTCTTTCCCTCCTCTCTCTCTCCCTGCCCCTCTCTCTCTCATCTCGATATTACTCACTTCAAATTTTATTATAGACGTACCTGTGCGCGTCTACGACTCACTCGACGCCATTATATCTGGAGGTATAGAAATCCATGGGCAGAGGCTCGTAGCTATATCACGTCGACCAGCAAACATTGAACCTGTACACGAGGAATATAAGTTCATTGCTTACCGCGATTATACCACGATCTCCTTAAAAGATGCAGTGCAAATATCAATACAGATTGCGCTTGAATGTCACGAACTGAGAAATGTCAAAGTGATCGAGATCGTTGAAGACGATGACAAAATTCAGCAGGAGGATCTAGTTACTCCAATTGTCTACGAAGTTCTAAGCAACTTGCCGTTAGTGCAACCTAATCTCACGTTGGTTGCGACGGAAAATAGATGCGACAGTTCCTTGTTACCTCAAAATCTATCAATCATACAACCTAACAAAGCATTTAAAGATGATACGTTCTTGATGGCCGTTGGTGTCGGAATATTAACGAAGGGTGCACGCACATTACTGTCCAATGTAATAGCTGAAGGCTTTCTGTTTACCCAGGAGGATCTCAATGTCACATACGATAACGAGCTTCTGCAAAAGTGCAATTTGAATATCATTTTGGAGAAACGCACAGAACGGGAGTCTGTGTTGCTCTTAAGAAAGGTGCAAAATGTCATAACCAGACGAGAAGTCGTGCATATAAATAATTACGAGTTCTCGTGGATCGAAAAGCTAAAATCTGTGATGGACGCTGACGACGAGACGAATTCAAGAATAACACTCGTTGCTGAAGGTGACTCTGAGTGCGGTGTTTTAGGATTTGTAAATTGTTTGCGAAAGGAACCAGGCAACGAAACAGTTAGATGTGTCTTCATTCAAGATAAAAACGCGCCCAAGTTCTCCTTGCAAGAACCTTTCTATATGAATCAGCTGGTACTGGATTTACCTATGAATATCTTATGTCCCGGTAAAATTTGAGGTTCTTACAGACATTTATCATTACCGCCTCCGGAACCGTTACTTGTGCAATGCGGTTATGTTATTCAGGCGGTAGGTAAACGTTTATATAAGTAAAATTTTGTCAACCCTAGTGCACAATAAAACGCACAAGAATACAATTTAATTTATTTCAACTAACATTCCTTTATAAGCAAATTTTTTATTGTAATAATATTATGAAATTATGAATTGAACTTAATTTCTGTTAGATTCATGATGATATTAATACTATACGCTGGGTCGAAAGACGGATATCTCCCAAAGTCAAGCATGAAAGTGTCATCCATACAACTTATGCGACACTGAATTTTAGAGATATTATGATAGCAACTGATAAATTGACGTTGGAATCTTTTCAAAAGATTAAACGTGATATCGATTCTTTCTTAGGCTTAGAGGTCGTTGGTTATGATAGATCTGGACAGAGAATAATGGCAATATGCTCTAACAGGTGGGAAAATACAATTCAAAATGTCATTATTATTTTATTAAAGATACGAATTCTATGGCAATACTATTTTGGTGGTCATTAGATTTTTCATTAATAAAGATATATAATGCAGTACGTCGTTGAAGTTTGAAGCGTTCTTGGAGCGAAAATTGAAAATAGCTTTTATTTAACAAAAAACCACTTAAAAATAAATGTAAATACATATAAAAGATAAATTTGTGTTAAATATGATATGACATTATAAGAAAGTTGTAATTCTCGAAAATTACGCACATATAATCATTCATACAGATTATAATTATTTCCGGCACTCACAGCGCTCTGTGCCAAAAACTGACAATTTCTCACTCTCTGGCATGTGGGAAAAAAGAAAAAAGTTAGTTTAATAGCAATATCGTCCCGGAACACTTTCGTTCTCCACGAATATGATATGCATACCACCACACTCAGGCAGATTGTAATTATTTCCGGCAGTCACAGCGCTCTGTGCCAAAAACTGACAACGCATTTTCACTCTTTGGCACGTGGGAAAATAGAAAAAAATTAGTTTAACAGCAATATCGTCCCGGAACACTTTCGTTCTCCCCGAAAATATTGTGCATACCACCACACTCAGGCAGATTATAATTATTTCTGGCAGTCACAGCGCTCTGTGCCAAAAACTGACAATGCATTTTCACTCTCTGGCATGTGGGAAAATAGAAAAAAATTAGTTTAACAGCAATATCGTCCCGGAACACTTTCGTTCTCCCCGAATATTGTGTGTATACCACCACACTCAGACAGATTGTCATTATTTCCGGCAGTCACAGTGTTCTGTGCCAAAAACTGACAATGCATTTTTATTCTCTGGCATGTGGGAAAATAGAAAAAAGTCAGTTTAATAGCAATTTCGTCCCGGAACATTTTCATTCTCGTCGTATTCCGGAACAAAAGAGTTCCGGGACGCGATTGCTGTTAAACAATTTTTGTTCTCTTTTTCCACATGCCAGAGAATGAAAATGCATTATCAGTTTTTGGCACAGAGTGCTATGACTGCTGAAAGTAATTATAATCTGTCTGAGTTTGATGGTACGCACACCATTTTCGGGGAGAGCGAAAGTGTTCCGGGACGATATTGCTATTAAACTAATTTTTTTCTATTTTCCCACATGCCAGAGAGTCAAAATACGTTGTCAGTTTTTGGCACAGAGCGCTGTGACTGTCGGAAATAATTATAATCTGTCTGAGTGTGGTGGTATGCACACAATTCTCGGGGAGAATGAAAGTGTTCCGAGACGATATTGCTGTTAAACTAATTTTTTTCTATTTTCCCACATGCCAGAGTGTGAAAATGCGTTGTCATTTTTTGGCACAGAGCGCTGTGACTGCCGGAAATAATTATAATCTGTCTGAGTGTGGTAGTATCCACACAATTCTCGGGGAGAACTAAAGTGTTCCGGGACGATATTGCTGTTAAACTAATTTTTTTCTATTTTCCCACATGCCAGAGAGTGAAAATGCGTTGTCAGTTTTTGGCACAGAGCGTTGTGACTACCGGAAATAATTACAATCTGCCTGAGTGTGGTGGTATGCATATCATATTCGTGGAGAACGAAAGTATTCCGGGACGATATTGCTGTTAAACTAATTTTTTTCTATTTTCCCACATGCCAGAGTGTGAAAATGCGTTGTCAGTTTTTGGCACAGAGCGCTGTGACTGCCGGAAATAATTATAATCTGTTTGAGTGTGGTGGTATCCACACAATTCTCGGGGAGAACTAAAGTGTTCCGGGACGATATTGCTGTTAAACTAATTTTTTTCTATTTTCCCACATGCCACAGAGTGAAAATGCGTTGTCAGTTTTTGGCACAGAGCGTTGTGACTACCGGAAATAATTACAATCTGCCTGAGTGTGGTGGTATGCATATCATATTCGTGGAGAACGAATGTGTTCCGGGACGATATTGCTATTAAACTAACTTTTTTCTTTTTTCCCACATGCCAGAGAGTGAGAAAGCATTGTCAGTTTTTGGCACAGAGCGCTGTGAGTGCCGGAAATAATTATAATCTGTATGAATGATTATATGTGCGTAATTTTCGGGAATTACAAGTTTCTTATAATGTCATGTCATATTTAACACAAATTTATCTTTTATATGTATTTATATTTATATTAAGTGGTTTTTTGTTAAATAAAAGCTATTTTCAATTTTCGCTCCAAGAACGCTCCAAACTTCAACGACATAATGCAGTTATGATTTTTTTGTCCATGAACGGAAGGCAACCTAAACTAAATTTTACTAATTTAGCACTATTTTTTTAGAGGCATATCAAATGTTTTAATGAACGACCCAATTTTATCCTGGATTATACCCGATGAATGGACATTCGAGGACGCTGCCACAGTTCCATGTGTTTATGCTGTATGCTGCTACGCTCTCTATGAGAAAGGAAAGATGAAGAAAGGAGACAAAGTTCTTATTCATTCCGGCATCAGCAGTGTCGGTCAAGCCGCGATTCATCTCGCACTTTACGAGGGATGCGAAGTATTTACGACAGTCAGGACTTTGGAGAAACGACAATTCATTAGAGATACATTCCCTTCGATTCTTGACGATCATATCGGCAATTCTCGTGACACAAGTTTCGAACAAATGATCTTTCAGCAGACATACGGTCAGGAGGTGGATATTGTGTTAAATTCCTTAGCTGAGGAGAAGCTTCTGGCATCTATTCGCTGCTTGGCGAAAGGTGGTCGATTCTTGGAAATAGGAAAACATGACTTGATTGCCGATAATATCCTGGACATAATGGTTTTTGCAAAAAGCATCAGTTTTCACGCGGTTATGTTGGACAACATAATAAATTCCATTACAGAAAATATCATATATAATAAAATTATATATGATTATATCTCGCAAGGTATGAAAAGCACCTCAATAAAACCACTCCCGAGGAAAGTTTTTGAAAAGTCCGAAGTAGAGGTTGCTTTCAAGTACATGGCAGCTGGTAAACACATAGGAAAGGTAATTTCTTGCACAGACTAAAATTTCATGCTTTTATTATTGGCACCACAACTGCAATAACAAATGCACGATCGCGCGAAATTCTGCTACTACTATTCTTATTTTCAGATCCTGATAAAAATATATGACGAAAACAAGCCATTAGGTTTTTCTATTTTAGCTTATCCACAATTTTTCTGCAAGTATCACATGTCTTATATAATTTTGGGCGGCTTAGGCGGCTTCGGTTTAGAATTAGCCGATTGGCTGATTCTTCACGGAGCAAAGAATCTTCTTCTAACTTCACGGACCGGATTGCGAAACGGTTACCAGCGCTCAAAGATAGAACTATGGAAATCCTACGGGGTGAATGTGCAAATTGTCGCGGGTGCTGATGCCTCCGATCACAAGGACTGTGCATTCATCTTGAATTCTGCCGCTGAAATGGGACCGGTGGACGCTATATTTAATCTTGCTGTGGTGATGAAAGATTCTCTCTTTAAGAATCAGACCGCTGAATCCTTTGAAGTAGCATTCAAACCGAAAGCAATGGCAACGAAGACGATGGACAAGCTGTCTAGGAAGATGTGCCCTGATCTGCAGCATTTCGTCGTTTTCTCGTCCTTCTCGTGCGGTCGAGGATTCGCCGGAATATCTAATTATGGTATGGCCAATTCTATCATAGAGAGAATGCGTGAGAGGAGAATACAAAACGGATTACCTAGAATGGCTATTCAATGGGGTTCGGTGGACGATGCTCACTGAGCGGTTTTCTTCGCTGAATGCAATGATTGTTGACATACTTATGTCATACCACATATATTTCATTTCTCACCTTTCGTTGTGAGTTGCTGCGTAGGCGTGCTCCGCAGGCGGGGCAGCAGTTCTCATCTTTCTCGAGTCGGAATGCGTCCCGAAAGTCATTAAAAAAAAAGTGACAACCTTTATGTCCGCGACCGTACAATATTCTTGCTATAACTGTAACGATGTGGGCATCATGGCCGATATACAGACGGATAAGGAACGAAACATCACTGGTATTCTAAAACAGAAAATACAGTCATGCTTGCAGTCGCTAGATACTTTCATGGTTCTAAATCGGACGATCGTGAGCAGTATGGTTATAGCTGAGAAATATGCGGAACTGGATGGAGTGATGAATATTTTGGACACCGTAGCTAGTATCCTGGATAATTTTTTTTTCATAAATATGATAAATCTGTACATTTCGAGATTTTTGCAATGAAACATTGTAGGTATAATTAAAAAATTACAGTTATAGCAAGAATATTGTACGGTCGCGGACATAAAGATTGTCACTTTTTTTTTAATGACTTTCGGGACACATCCCGACTCGAGAAAGTTGAGAGCTGCTGCCCCGCCTGCGAAGCACGCCTACGCAGCAACTCGCAACGAAAGGTGAGAAATGAAATATACGTGGTATGACATAAGTATGTCAACAATCATTGCATTCAGCGAAGAAAACCGCTCAGTGAGCGATTAGTGACTAAATAAATATGATTTCACTTAAAATTTAATATACATACTTGTTCAATACTTTGCAAAAGACGCATTCCCATTTGAATGACTTGCACTATGTATCTATCCCTCCGCTGCTGATTTTTCAAAATGTAAGAATTGGGTGCTTTCACGACACTCAATGATTGAGCAACTGTTGAATAATTTGTCAACGTTATTGGTCTGAATGTAAGGATCTAACAGTAAGGACAATAGTCACTAATCGCTCATTGAGCGGTTTCCTCCGCTAGACTCAATGATTGTTGACATACTTATGTCATATCATATATATTTCATTTCTCGTCTTTCGTTGAGTTACTGCGCAGGCGTGCTCCGCAGGCGGAGCAGCAGCTCTCATCTTTCTCGTGTCAGGATGCGTCCCGAAAGTCATTAAAAAAAAAGTGACAACCTTTATGTCCGCGACCGCACATATTTTTCTCATATCTTCTGTTATGAACAAATATATGTTGTCGCAGCTAGAAATTAAAAGCCTTATTATCTCTTTCCATCTTTGCCCATCTAGGAGTGAAAGACGTGAAGACGGTTGGACTTCGCATTCCACTACCAGAGATGGGTATGGACTCAATGATGACGATGCAAATCAAAGAAACGTTGAAAAAAAAATTCCATGTTAACCTTACGGCGCAAGATATTCAAAATCTCACTTTCGAGAAACTCCGCACACTGAGAAAAGAATTTTCTTAATTTTAGTAAATACATTTGCTAAAATTAAATTAGCTTTATTTTAACTAATAATGTTTTAAATATAAATCCTTTTTGTTTAATTGTAGTAAATGAAAACCTTAAAATTAGGAAATAATATGTAGTTGTAAGATTTACTTGAATTAAATTCTAGTTTACTAAATTGTAATGTAAGATTGTTGAAATGTATGTATTTTTTCATAAATATGATAAATCTGTACGTTTCGAGATTTTTGCAATGAAACATTGTAGGTATAATTGAAAAATTACAGTTATAGCAAGAATATTGTACGTATTTTTTTTCGTATCTTCTGTTATGAACAAATATATGTTGCCGCAGCTAGAAATTAAAAGCCTTATGTTGCTAACTACATGAAATGTAGTTAATGAATTTTTTAAATGCTGAATTCGAATTTCTTAATTTCAAAAATGATGTTTTAATAAATATTTTTTAAAATTCATCTTTCCAATGCTTAAAAAATAATAAATGAAATGTTTAAAAAAATAATTTTTTTTATATAATTTAAGTACGAGAAAGTTATTTTTTTTATATAATTTGTTATATTTAAGGAAACATGTATTTGAATAAAGCAAATATATTAACTTTATTCAAATATACGTTTCTTCAAATGTAATAAATTATACAAAATAAATTATACAAAATAAATTATACAAAAAAAATATTTTTTTTAACAATTCATTCATTATCTTTGATATTTTGAACGGATTAATTTAAAAAAAATTATTTACTAAATATAAAAATATTTACTAAAATATTTTTAAAATTAAAAACATTCTAATTCAGTACATTAAAAATGTAATTATTACATTTAAACACATCTTGTATTGCAATAGATAAAACCTGAGTTTGAAAGAAATCTATCAGTAAGAAGTAGTTGTATAATTTTAATGTTTTATATACTAAAATTTTCGCATTTTCGCTTCACTTAGAGTGCAACCCACTAAACGCTGTAAATACTTCGAAGCACTCAAAGAAAAGCCGCGATTGGTCCGTAGGGTAATTCGAAGCGTTTACAACGTGTAAGGGATTGTGCCTGTTCATTTTGTCTGCACTGATGAACTGGTGCAACAAGTTGCAGTGAGAAAACCTACATTTGTCTCACTGCAACTGTGTTTAACTTACTGCACTAGTTCAGCAGTGCAGACAAAACGAACAGCAATGGAACTATGTAAAATGATAGACGAAGAAATAGAAAGAAATTTCCTGTCTTTATAAAGAAAGTATCTATGTAAGTAGAATCGTGCATCATCCGGCTATTTCGGTTGTCATCCGAAGTGCTGGAAATAGAAAGACCTTCATAGCTCTTTCTATATCTATTTCCTAACCTTTACAAGGCAGTTTATATAATGATGTATGTACGTTCTCTAGTTTTAGCGTGTCTATGTTCTTGCTAATGCTATTAAAATATTTGATTAATTATGAGTGGTAAAGTGAGTGAAAATTCATATGAATTTAAAAGAAATTATAGGTAAATATTATTTTATATTATATTGAATATACAGGGTGCACGATTTATCTGAAGACATTGAAATATCTCGAGAACTATGCATTGGATAAAAAAAAGTGGTTAATGAAAGTTGTTAGTCTCGAAGGGGGACATCCACTGATACCAAACTCGACCTCCCACCCCACCCCCTGGGGGTGGGGGTTGGGGACAACTTTGAAATCTTAAATGGAAACCCCCATTTTTTATTGCAGATACGGATTTTACGTCACAAAATACGTAAATTTTGTCCGAAACTGTTTTTTTGATTCGTGATAGATAGCGCTGTAATCGCAAAAAATTATAATTTCCGCAATTCTCCAGAAATGATCATTGGACAGAGAAATAAAAAATACCTGTTCAATATTTTTAAAGAACATAATAAAAGTTATTTTATTTTTTATAGTTTTATAGTTTTTTTATAGTTATTTATTTTATAGTGAGCTCCTACCGCATTGCACTGCCTTTTATAACAAGCCGTAGTTCGCCATACACCCACAGTGGCGCGTCGAGCAGTTCCCTCTTCGATTCGGGTTCCCATTTGAGATTTGAACGTTACCACCCACCCTACCCCGAGAGGATGGGGGGGGAATAACTTTTATTATGTTCTTTAAAAATATTGAACAGGTATTTTTTATTTCTCAATCCAATGATCATTTCTGGAGAATTGCGGAAAATATAATTTTTTGCGATTACAGCGCCATCTATCACGAATCAAAAAAAAAGTTTCGGACAAAATTTACGTATTTTGTAGCGTAGAATCCGCATCTGCAATAAAAAATGGGGGTTTCCATTTAAGATTTCAAAGTTGCCCCCAACCCCCACCCCCAGGGGGTGGGGTAGGAGGTCGAGTTTGGTATCATTGGATGTCCCCCTTCGAGACTAACAACTTTCATTAACCACTTTTTTTTATCCAATGCATAGTTCTCGAGATATTTCAATGTCTTCAGATAAATCGTGCACCCTGTATACAGGGTGTTTGAAAGCTTATCATGCAAACGAAAGTTGGAGATAGATTGGGTGTAGCCGAGAAAAAAAGTCATGTACCATAATGTCAAATTGGCAATAGTTACCGAGTTATTAATTAGAACATGTGAGCCAATGAGCGTATAGAGAACGGAGGGCGACCGCAGTAAGCACGTTGACATTTGATACAGGCGGAGTCAGCGAGTGGTGGTAGGCGAGCGCGCGCGGCGAGGAGCGAACGAGCGCAAGCGACAAGAGGCGAGCGCAAGCGATAAGAGGCAAGCGAGCGCGAACGACGAGGAGCGAGCGAGCTATAAGGAAAAAGTTATAAAGAAAAAACTCGCTCGCTCGCTCCTCGTCGCGCGCGCTCGCCTCTTGTTGCTTACATTGCCCCTCGCCGCGCGCGCTCGCCTACCACCACTCGCTGACTCCGCCTGTATCAAATATCAACGTGCTTACTGCGGTCGCCCTCCGTTCTCTACACGCTCGTTGGCTCACATGTTTTAATTAATAACTCGGTAACTATTGCTAATTTGACATTATGGTACATGACTTTTCTTCTCGGCTACACCCAATCTATCTCCAACTTTCGTCTGTATGATAAGCTTTCAAACACCTTGTATATGTTTTATCACACACATACACAAAATTACTTAATTAAATTCATATTTGAACCACCTTGTATTTATTCCATTTCTTATATTTTAATCAATAATGAAATAAAATATGAAAGTTATATTAAAACCTTATTAGTATATGTTATTATTTATAAGTATCATTATTTATTTATGAAAATAAAAGTTTTATTTATTATTTTACCCTAACTGCACCGTACATCCTTGATATATACGTTCAAAAAATATGTTCAGAAAACATCCAAGGGATGTCCTGGAGACGTCTTATATTCTCAGGACGGCCCTGAGATGTCTCTGGACGTCCCCAGGAGATTTATGCTAATCAAATGGATTGCTTCTATCTCTTAAAAATATGCGTTCTAATCGTAAATTTTCTTTTTCTTCTTCTCCTATTTCTTCTCCCATTGAAATTCTCATTATTGCATCCATTGGTCTATCT